ACCTTACGTAGTTAACAGAGATAATACTTGTTGTGATGTCTACGACGTATATGTCTTGTTGTGATGTCTACGACGTATATGTCTAGAATATATATATAATCCTTTGACCTTACGTAGTTAACAGAGATAATACTTGTTGTGATGTCTACGACGTATATGTCTAGAATATATATATATATATATATATATATATATATATATATATATATATATATATATATATATATATATATATATATATATATATATATTTTGAATGCTACTAGCTCTATTACATTGTAGTATCTGTTCATATACTTTCTCAACCTACTGAAACACAAAGAGCTAATAACGCCTCCACTGGGGCTCGAACTCACAACCTTCCAAGTGGAAGTCCAACCCGGGTACCATTGGACAACATAGTCCTGGTATATATATATATATATATATATATATATATATATATATATATATATATATATATATATATATATATATATATATATATATATATATATATGGAAGGGGATCAGGTGCATTTGTGGCTTCCTGTGCGGATGTGTGGTGGATTAATGTGCGTGAGGTTTATACTTAATGTGCGTGAGGTTTGTACTCAATGTGCCTTAGATTTGTACTTAATGTGCGTCATGTTAATATGCGTGAGTTTTTGTACTTAATGTGCCTGAGTATTGTGTTTAATGTGCGTGAGATTTGTGCTTAATGTGCGTGAGTATTTCAGAATTACGAGCTCAGAAGGAAGCAGAACAGAAACCCACGCACATTAACGACCAAGCTTCTTGTTACTTCTTCCTTCAATTTGGCCACAGATTCTGGATTATCAGCTACCTTCAATGCAGTTGAATGTTTATATAAATGACGCACGCATAGTAAAATTTGCACAGCAGCTAAGTGTGGATTTCTGTTGTATTATTCCCATAATTCTAAACCACCATAGCTCGCCTCCGCATCATCATCATCAGGGAGGGGGCAAATGGCTACTGGGGATGGGGAAGAAGCTGACATCAATATTTTATGCTGCATTTTACACATTCACGCACATTAAGTACAAATCTCAGGCACATTAAGCACAACACTCACGCACATTGAGTACAAATATCACGCACATTAATCCACCGCACATCCGCATGGGAAGCATTCAACCGCACGGAAACCTTTCACTATATATATATATATATATATATATATATATATATATATATATATATATATATATATATATATATATATATATATATACTAGTTTTTTACGCGCATTACGCGATTGAGATAATGCCCAATGCTTTTTTTTTTTTAAATAAGTACTTTAAATATATTAAGGCATGATTATATTGAAATTGTTCATGCATAGATAATTGAAGGTTGAATTTGCCTATTTAAATAGGTAATTCTTCTCCCAAAGGTTGAGTCCCCAACTCCAAGGGCACCCACACTCCGACCCTACAGAGCATTGTGGGAAGTTGTAAATCACGGTGACTCAATGGTTCAGCAGACAGGGCCAAATGCTGATACACACAAGGAATCTGCCCACTTTGGACATAATTCCCGCACTGCCGCCGCCGAGGTTCAAACCTTGGTCTCTTCTCCCAAATACTATCCACTAAACCATTGAGCTAAGCCCGTGAGGGTTAAATAAGTAATTCTAAGTTTACAAATGCAAAATAATATAGTCAAGATTGATTATAATTGTCAATAAAATAATTGTATAAGTATGGTTGAAACCAAATACGGGACATAAGGGAGAACAAATAAAAATTAGGGCATAAAATATTAAATATATACTAATATTGTTTGAGGAGATTCCGACATTAGGATTTGTGGTTAAGTTCTATTAAGACTTTAATATTAGAATTAGATTAATGGTGTAGTTATAATTCTATATTAGACTTTAATATTAGAATTAGACTAAAGGTGAATTAAAGGAAAAGTTAAATGGATAATCATATAATTAAGGATAAATTAGAAAATCTTAATAGAAAAAAATTAAAACCTGAAAAATATGAACCATTCATTTGATTTAATAATTTGGCGGTCATTTTTTCTACCCAATGTTAATAATTAAATAAATTCGCTGGTCAAATCCGCTAGTATAATCCGCTAACGCTAACCGCTAACTGCTGATTGTCAAACAAGGACATTGCGAGGTAGTTCTCACTTCAATTTGTTGTGTGATTTGAATACTCTCTTTGTCACAAAATCTCTCAAGCAGTTAATATGGTTGGCTTTATTAATTATATTTTTTTAATTTTTTCATGGTATTAATAAAATACTTGGTAAATAAATATATAGCATTATTTTGTATTATAACTTTGATATTTAATTAGAAAAATAGTGCACAAAAAAGATAATAGATAATGTAGTGAATATAATTAATTGATGAATTTGATTGTAAAAATTTTTACATTTGAGAAAAATAAAGACAATATAACTAATGAAAATATTTCATTTAATTGATTTATTGATAATTAATAATTTTTTTTCACTGAATAAAGACATTGTAAGGATAATGTAGCGAATATAATCAATTAATAAATTTGAATATAAAGAATTTTTATATTGAAGAAAAATAAAGACAATATAACTAATAAAATTATTTCTCTTATTTAATTTATTGATAATGAATAAATTTTTTTTTTTTGAATAAAGACATTGTGGACACATAATTCTAAATTAAAGAAATGCATATGTATTATTTTTTGTTGTAACTACTAAATTATTATTTATATCTACAATTCTAATAAGAGCCAATAATGTTAGGCCCTTAACTGGAATAAAAAAAATGTCGGTACTACTTTGTTTCTTAAAATGAATGGTTCATAGTATTTTGATTTTAGTATTTTTAATGATTTTTCTTATTTACCCTTTATTATATTATTTTCTTTCCTTAAATGACCTTAAATTCCGTTAGTATAAACTTTATTAACAGAATATTTCGTTAACTATTTATTATTCTTAACTTACTCATTAATTTCTATAAGAAAGGTCTTAGGTCCGAACTTCATTCCAATTAAAGTTAGCATAATTGTTAAACATATACTATGAATATGTTAAAATGTATTAAAAATAAAATATAAAATTTAACATAAACTTTGGTCAAATCCGACTATATACATAGCATTCAATAATTATAAACCAGGAACTTTGATAATCATTTGATTTTTTTTCATTAAAAAAATAATAAATTTAAGTTCAATTTTTTTTCTTCGTTTAATTAATCTTCTTTTTATTATTGAAAACAAAACTTAATATTTCAATTATGCTTTTATCAATGCGTGAAAACTTCTAAAGAAATTTGTAAGTTAATTTTTACTATATTATTATAATAATATCTATTGTAACCTTATATTTTGAATTATTTATTATCATCATCTATTGACAGCAATTGTCATTGACAAACTCTCAAAACAATTTGTCTCAACAACGAATGGAAATTTTAAAAAAAAAAATCAATGATTTCATTATTGTGGACGAAAAGTATGTACACCACTTTATTCAATCGTTATGCTGTGGAATTGTGTCCACCTTGCAATGTGAACACAGTTCTATGCTCATAATTACTGAACTATATGTTCATAATTATAAAGCTATATATTCATAATTTTTGAACTTCATATTCATAATTATTGAACTCTACATTTACAATTACAGAACTCTATGTTCATAATTACTAAACTATATGTTCATAATTATAAAGCTATATATTCATAATTTTTTAACTTTACATTCACAATTATTGGATCTCTATATTCATAATTATGTTCACAACTCTATGTTCATAATTATAGAACTATATGTTCATAATTTTTGAACTATATATTCATAATTATGAACAGTTTTGGAACCGTGTCCACCTTGCAAGGTGGACACGGTTCCACATCATAATTTTCCCACTTTATTGCTCTTATTACTTAAACTAGCATTTTGTACGCGCGATGCGCGAAAATTTATGCCCAATATTAAAATATTTGTAAGTAACAAAATTTAAAAAATTAGTTTAAAAAATTATGTTTTGCAATTTCTTAAAGTGATGATACTTTTGAATTATCATATTTTTGAATAATATAGTAATCAAAACAAAAATAATAATAATAAAAAATTATATTTTTATATAATAATAATTTACAAATAATACTAAGCTAAGACTCACATATATGATATATTGATATGGATACACAAATTATATATATATATATATATATATATATATATATATATATATATATATATATATATATATATATATATATATATATATATATATGATACACATATATAATTTAGCATTCATATAAATATTTAATTAAAATATAATTTATAATTAAATTAATTGTTATATGATAATTTTAATAAAATGATAATTAAAAATAGGAAAAAGATATGATAGCTGTAGGTGTATGGTAAGATTGGTAGATATATTAAAAACTAACGGTGTTATAACGGTGTAAGGGTGATTTTGTCCAATGCAAATGAATGTACAACAATTAAAGCAAAATGTATATATTTATTAGCATATAAAAAAGGGACAAGAATCAAGGACATAACTTGTATTGACACTTATTAAGTTTTTAGATTAAAAATAAATTAGTTGTTACAACAAAAAATAATATATATGCATTTAATTAATTTAGAATTAGATGTCTCACAACACATGAAACATGTATGGAAAACTACCACTACCAAATATCAACATGTGCTTGTAAGATAAAGAGTTCATAGCACAACTAAGATCTCAATCGTATACACAAGACAAATCTAAAACTTCATACACCATAATCTCATTGCATGATGAATCCCTCTATAATACTACCAATAAACCAATTGCACATGGCACACCACAATTAAAAAAAAAAAAAAAAAAAAAAAAAAAAAAAAAAAAAAAAAAAGAAGAAGAAGACATGTACTGAAGATGAAAACAATAACAATGCTACCTAAAAGAGAATTAGAAAAATTTAAATCAAAAAATAGTATTTATTTAGACTATCACTTTTAGACTTAGTACTTAGATTAAAGTTATTACAAAGTTGCAAACATTTATTTTTGTGACAGTTATATATAATCAATCTCTCATATATTATCTTGCATTTATATACTTTAAATTACCGATTTAAATAAACAAATTCAATATTTATTTACCTATGCATGAACATCTTCTATATAATATTGCATTGATATACTTTGAAATACTTATTTAAAAATAAGTATTGGGCATTATTCTATTCGCGCGTATAAAAACTAGTAATTTAATAAGAGTAAAATAGAGTACTAATTATGCCAACTTTGATTGGGATGAGGTTCGAACCTAAGACCTTTTTTTTTTTTTTTTATTGAAATCAATGAGTAAGTTAACGGTGAACTAACGGCAATTCTTAAAATTTTAACGAAATTAGTAACGGTGTGTGGGTATTTTAGAAAAGTTTAGTGTAAAATTTAAATCTGATCAATCTTTTAATCAATCTGAGCCATTCATTTGATTAAAATCTGCGACCGCCATTTTTTCTATCCATTATAGGCCTAACTCTCTTGGACTCTTATATATATATATATATTTAGAAAATAAACCCAACGAGAAAGCAAGGAAAGATCCAAGTTGTGTGTAAAGAACGGTACGAGCAATCAACTAGTTGTTCAAGCAGTACCCATGAATAGTAAAGGTTACATACGAGCAGTGAACTGCTTAGTCAAACCAAAGAGTCAACATTCAAATGGTAAACATAGTTTACTCTTCGGGCAGTGGCTCAAAGTTGGAAATTTTTTACAAAATATTGGCATGAAGAACGGTACGAGCAAGCAGTCAAACCAAAGAGTCAGCATTCAAATGCGACATTCATGCCTACAAGTGCCAATGTAGGCCTATATACCCAAGAGAGAGCCTCTATACTATACAATTTAACTTCATTTTAAAAGACTCTTGCATATATAGTGGTGCAAACCCACTTCCCAAACCAATTTCGGACAAGTGCTTTTACAAAGCCTTTCCATCTTCATTTTTCAAATCAAATGGTCTACTTTGAGAATCAATTCCTCATTCACCCGTTATCCATTTTGAGCGTACAATATATCAATCTCTTCGTCTCACTACGAAGAATCCGAATCCACTTTTACCCGAACCAAATTGAAAGTGGACCCCACATATATTTGTACCACAAAATAGCTACTTACAATACCATTTCATGCTAAAAATTCCAACAAGTTTTACTAGTGATGAGATAACTACTACTACTTCTTCCACAACATCTACATCTGGCTGTCGATGATGTACTACGCCATTCTTAGTTGGTAGAGGTTAGTCAATCATCACTTTTGTTGATGGTAAAGCTATCCTTAAAGAAAGTTTTGTAGCTACAATTTTAAACGTGGGTGTGTGGGAAGATTAAGCTCAACAGAAAGTAAAAAGATAAGAGTAAGGAGAGATTGAGTCACAAAGTTTTTATAGTTGTTCAGGTAAATCCTACTCCACTCTTCCACTCTTCTCCTTATCACAGAAAGTTTCACTAGTATTGCTAAAACACAAGTGAACACTTATCCTTTCACATTACTTACAAACCAAGCTAACTAGGTTACTTTCTAAATTCTGATTACATCCTTCGAACGATTTTCGGCAAAGAGCTGCACGTTCTTCACTGCCTAGCTTTCTCGTCAAGGACGTCCACCAAGTCACCTTGAGAGAATCCCAAATCATTGTGACAATGAGTTTTAGTCTAGAATGCTAATTAGATAGGATCTGGAAAGATTCTTGAAGCGTTTGAGCACTAAGAATGGTTGGGTAATCATCGAGTTTGCTCATATAAGAGTTGTAATTTTGCATAATTTCTGTAACTTCTTTAAAGCTTCAGGAGTGGCTCTTTATATAGATATGAGTGTTTGGAAATTTGAAGGTTTGAAAAATTCCCGTGAGTGCCTATTGAAATGGTAGGTGTCTAAAACCTGCTATTTCTTTCTTTTTCGTAACACGCCATTGACCTTTTGATAAAGACACATTTCTTTTTAGTTGAAAGGAATGTCTCTCATTAGTGTAGGTCCAAAAATTATGTTTGAATGTAATCAAAAGATATCTTGTTGCTGGAGTCATTGGAAAATGTACCCAGCAACTCTTTTTAGAAAAGGACAAACTATATTTCATTATACTTAGGCTATGCTAAAAGTACGACTGTCAGTACATCTCGAATATGTTGCATAAAGGTCTGTCGATTCATGACTTCAATGCTTATGATAATTTTAGTCGTAGTCAGATGATAGGACATTTGCCGGAAGATCTTATCCCATTAATTTAAAAGTAAACTCATAGAGTTGAGATCTACGGTTCGAGTTTGGTGAGGAGATGAACCGCTAGGATTTGCTACACATGATTGAGATCTACTGGAGAATCCTATGTGATCTACCGGGTATGGTCTGCCAATTGTGAGCTCAATCAACTATTTAATGTTACCATACACATCTGCTAGTATCATATCGATCAACTAAATACAATAGGCCTAGCCATGACTGAGTCCTAATTTTTGTTCGTATAAAGGTTAACGTACCCATAAGTGTTAGGAATAAAAGTGTATTTGTTTTTATGAGCTAAAAATGTATTTTAAATAGATCCCCATTTTAATTTGAGTCTAGATGATTATTTGTTAAGTCCAAGCTAATAGACTATGAACTTAACTGTTATTATTGATGTAAAAAAATCAGCTTTAAATAGCATACAAGGAAGAGAAGATAGTGAGTAGTTAGCAGGTTGTTGTAACAACCAGTCTAACAATGCGACATAAAAGGAATGCAACTATATTTAATTATATACAAAAATATGTCAGCCACAGATATCCTTAACACAAGCTAAGCCCGAATTCATAGCTGATAGAGGGAAAAATATAAGTATTTGGGCTGGCGATCCGAATGACCGCAAATCTACTAGTGGCTTTACTGTGTTCTTGGGCAGTAATCTTATATCTTGGACTTGTCGGAAGCAACAGATTGTGGCACGTTTTTCGACTGAAGCAGAATACAAGGGTCTCGCTGATGTATCTGCAGAAGTTACATGGCTCGTTTCTCTGTTACATGAAATCGGCATCCCGCCTGCGTCTCCTCTTCGACTATGGTGTGATAATTTGGGAGCTACTTATTTATGTGTCAATCCAGTGTTTCATGCTTGCACGAAGCACATTGAGATTGACTATCATTTTGTTCGCGATAAAGTAGCCAAAGAGGAGTTAGAAGTGCACTTTATTTCAACCAAGGATCAACTAGCGGATATTTTCACAAAGTCTCTGTCGTCTCTTCGTTTTAATTCTCTCCGTGACAAGCTCAATGTTTTCACTAGCCAACCTTGTACTTAAGGGAAAGTATTAGGACTATATTATTCATATTAGACTAGGACTATATTATTCGTGTTAGATTACGATTCTATCTAGCATCTCTATATATTCGCTTCCTGTACTCTCAGACATTATTATTGCACACAACACAATTATATTCTCATCATCTTCAACCTTAATTATTACATTAATTCTTTCCTTTTAAGCATATCATACATGTCTTGACTTTCTTATGGATATGATTATACAAACATCTTTAATCTGGATTAATAAGGATCTAAAGGACACCGACCGAACAATAATGAAAATATGTATCTTGTTTAGGGTATTGTTTAGAACCCAATTAAAAGTAGCATAATTTGGGTTTAGGATTGAATTTTTTTTTTAAAAAAACCATTAATGGCATATATATATATATATATATATATATATATATATATATATATTAAATAGGCCTTTAAACAGGCTTCAAGTTAGACCAGATCAATTTTAACTTCAGGCTTGAACCTTTACAAAAAAAAAAAGAAAAAGAAAAGGGATAAGGGTCAAATAATCCTCCAACAATGTACTAAAGTGTAATTTGTCTCTCGAACTAAAAAAAATATTCAATTAAACCCTTAAACTTGTTGAAATAGTGCAATTAACTTATTTAACCTATAAAAGTATGTTATCTTCAAGTCACCTTCCACGAAAGATTCCACGTCAATTAATATTTTGATATTAACTTTTTAAAAAGTTAAATTGAATATATTATTTAAAAAAAAAAAACAAAAAAAAACAATGCCATGACACTATGGCAGGCTGGCAGCTTGCCTAGCCTGCCGCCATGGCATGGACTAGAAGCCATCAAGCTTCTCCGTCCAGATTTGGGCGGAGAAGCTCGTTGGTTTCTCAAACAGAGAAGCCATGGCTTCTCTTCTCCGGACATGGAGAAGCTAGCTGCTTCTCCATAAACGGAGAAGATGAGCCAGCGAGCGAAACACAAAAGTTGAATGGACGATGAATCTGGTAGTGTCGAACAGACAAATCTGGTAGCTTATCCGCCGCCGGCAACTACCAACGGACGAATCCAGCGGTATCCAACAAATCCGGCGGCTTTTCTAAGTTTTAAAAAAAAAAATTAAATGAAATGCCAAGCAAGCAAAATTAACTGGTTACTTTTTAGTAACTTGTTAAAAAAGGTAATTGCACACTTTTAACAATTTTAAGTGTTTAATTGAAGGTTTTTTTAGTTCGAGGGGCTAATTGCATTTGATATATAGTTGGAGGGTCTATTTGATCGATCATTATCCCAAAAAAAAAAAAAAAAAAAAAAACATACATACAGACCTAGACTAAGGAAAATTATTGTGTGGACTGTGGTCCACATAGCTGTGTGGACCACGGTCGCGGTCTAAAACGGCATTGTTGAATTTTATGAGTTAGAATAATGTACATTATATGTTAGTAATGAAACTTCTGAGGTAAAATATGTACTTTATAAGTTAGAATAATGTACATTATGCTTTAAAATAATGTACACTGAGTTATAAAAATGTATGTTGCAATGGGTTGTGTGAAAAAAAAATTACGCAAGACATTGTCGTTTTTAGATCATGGTCCATGCAATAACTATTTCTAGACTCAGGCTGAGGCCTTAGATTTCTCCAATAGTCCCATGCCTAATTTATAAAGCTCGGTTCAGCCCAGCCTATGTTCATCACTTCATCCAA